CGTCTGTTACAAATGCCTGTAGTGCATATTCCTGAGTGTTATTCCTAGAAAACTGATCCTATGGAAACTTTCATAATTGAGTTATTGAGCTTTACAGCTTTTTCAAAAGAGAAAGGCCAGTGAGTCACAATTATGCTACAATTCTAGACCATCTGAATTTCTTCAAATATGATGGCTTAAGAATTTGTTTAATTCTTGGCTCTCTCTGACAAACTCAAAATTTAAAAAATCTACATTTTTAAGCCCTGATTTATGTCATTAATTTTCAAGTTATACTTGCTTCTGGATATATCATTTAGATAATCTGCCATCTCCATATGCATGGTGTCCCAAAACCCTAGAAGCCCCCATTCTTATAAAAAAACAATTGACCAAGCAGTCTCCTTCCCAAATTTCTCATTCTGGATCATTAAACTATGATTCTCCCAAATCTCTCATAATTCTCCTGAGCACAACAAATGGAAAAAGACCTTAGATATCTATTAGCTCTACTTTTGCACTTTACAGATAAGAGGATACATAACTTGCCCAGTACTACTATTAGGACCAGAATTCCTGGCCTTTATCTAAGCTAAACAAACAGATCAACGACAACAATAAAAAATTAAAAATAAACTCAGAGTCAGATATCTTGAATTAGAAATCTGATTCTAATATTCTTTATACTTGAGTTCTTCATCTGAATGATGCAGAAAATAGTGGCAATCTCACAGCATGCAGTTAAATGAGGTAATATATGTGAAAATATTTACCTGAAAGAATAGGACACAGTAAATGTGTAAGAAATGTTTGGTGAATCAATCACTCCTTAAATTGACCATTTCTAACAGCATTAGTTCTCTCTTACCCTTTTTTCTCTGACTTATCTCTTCCCACGGTATCTACCCTTAGAACCTAACCCACCTGCAGAAGCAAGTTGTAACTGATCTCACTTTCCCATTTTCCAGTCCAAATCTATCCACACACTAAAGCCCTGCCAATGTTTTCAAAACTCATTCCCCTATTCAAAAACCCAAAATAGAGGTTCTATGGCCTACTGGCAAAAGAACACAGTCCTCATCCTGTGTTCATCCTAACTACCTCAATCCGGCCACAGGAACCTTTTCAAACAATTCCTCCTGTGGTTCCAGCGTGCACCTTCTGTATTCATGGGCTGGGTCCACAGACACACACATTCTCAGCCATAACGTCAAGCTATGCCATCCCAGTTCTACCTGGAAGCCTACTCTGGCAAATTCAGAGAGACTTTCTTCCCAGAGCCAAAGGCACTATTTATTACATCCAATCTTGTATTGTTCTCTAAGTTTTTCACTCATAAGTGTGGGAATTCTACTTCTCTGAACATATTATAATGCTTTGACCAGTTGTTAATAAGTCTACTTAATATCCCTTAAAATGTATTGTAGTAAACTCAAAAAAAAAAAAAGTCTGAGTAATCTCAATTCTTATAAAAACAAATTATAGAAGTTTTTTCCTATAATGTCGATTCACATGTTTAATCATTTTCCCTGAAGCAACATCGTGAACATGGCAGAAATTAATAGGCAGAGAAAATTAGCAATTTGATAATACTTTTTAATACTATAAAATAGCATTACTTCTGTAAAATAATGTATTGCATCTATTTATCACATGAAGTATATTTAAGACAAATTTCCTTTGTCAAAATAATCCTTAAATTAAAAGAAAACTTACATCTATATTGCAAAACATCTCCTTGAATCAAAGTATCCCTGTCGGCATCTGTGGATGTTGAGCAGGGAATTTGCTGGTTCAAGATTAAAGGCAAAAGTTTCTAAGACTGCTTTTATCCAATTCCAAAGTTGTAGACCAGAAACTCTGTTCCTCATACCTCTCTTTTCACAATGTTGATAGTTAGCTTTATATCTACTATTTTTAAGACAGCTACAGCCCACATTCTACCTGTTTGAGGAGTACCAGGTGTACAAAAGTATAAAATGTAGTCATGGCTTCCTCTAAACAACAGCCTCAGGTTATTCCTGCTTCTGGAAACTTGGCTATCATGTCAAACAACTGGACTATTTAGTGAGTTCATAAAAAAATGTAACGAAAATAATAAGTCAAACAGATTGCATTGCTGAGTCAACTGTCTGATTCCAACAGAATATGATGCCTCACATAAATATCGACTAAGAACTGTAGTTCATCTACCAACGGTGACATCATTTCCCACTGTAGTCTCACTTAATTTCACATTTTCTATTGTACTTTGTAAAGTTTCTGGGAAAAAAAAGGTAAAAAAGCTTTTGTTTGCACCATAGATAAACCCTCAATTTAAGTATTTGCATAGCAGGAACTTGTAGCAGTTGGGATGTTTTCTTATTAAGGTATCTCTACTCTGCTAAGTTTTTCAGCAATGACAACTGAATATTATTATAGTCATGATAGTTTTCCAAGATAAGATATACTCAGGGTGTTTTTAAGTAAGGAGTTTGGATAATTAGATTAGTATCCTATGCCCAATTCAGAGAAAGCTAATAGGGAATCTGTGTTTTATAGTTAGGAAAAAAGTATAAAAGACAATCTCTCACTTCAACATTAATACACTGAAAATTCAATTCACTAAATTCTAGTGTTTTCATTCTTATAATTCCCTAACCTATTAAGAAATCAGTTTTGCCAGCTTCTTTCCTTTGAAATAATTCCAACTTTGTACTGTAGATCTTTCTGAAGATAGTTGGAGATTTAATTTCAATGGTGCACAAAACAGAAGATAGAATAATTTGCTTTAGTTTAAAACATACCTATTTTGGAAACCACGAATTTCTTCTCTTTGATATGATGACATGTTGAATTTATTTTAAGTTTAATGTTTTTATGAGAACTGAATGAATAAAGTGTCTGATAAAATGCAGCAAACCAACAAATATTTTAATTGCAGCTATTAACTGAAATTAAATAAGATGAATTCCAAATACAGTCTTTCTTAAGAGAGTGAGTTTGGCCATCCTAGATTGCAATTTTCAGAACTGATCTAAAGTCTTCCTAAGGCTGCTATGCTCATCATATTAGGATCAAAGTTTTGAAATAAAAACCACACTACATAGTTTCTCTTCTACATAAAAAAAAAAATCAACTATAAGTCTGGTTAACTGTATGAGTAAGGATTTTATCTGTATCATTTACTTTTTTTCTTGGATATATAGAGTACAGATATAAAGAGTGTGATAGAACAAACTCGGATATGTCGGACTCAAATGACTGTTGTGAAAAATTCAAATACTCTGTTTGCCTTTAAAGTTATGTTAATTATCAACTTTAGCAAAGTGCTTATTGTTTAGAACTTTTTTTCCTTCTATTTGGCCACCTACACACCACAGAAGTAAATATGTCTAAAATTGGTGCTGGCTTTGATAAGCCATGGTGATGACATCAGCCTAGGTTCTAGCTCCCGGAATGCAGAACTGAGACCTTACAGCAATTTGTGGGCTATGAGGTTCCAACATAACTCTCCTTGTCACCACCTATTACTGATTGGGAGCCAAGACTCCTACTCTAAATATACTACACCAGTTAAATACAGGTATTTTATAATATCTTTGTTGTCAAATGCAGGGGAGGGTGAGGGGGAAAAGGAACTACAGCTCTCTTATAAAATACCAGGGATTTAAAACTATACATGGTGCACAACAATGTTAATATACTTAATACCATTTAACTGTACACTTAAAAGTGATTAAAATGGCAAATTTCATGTTATGTGTATTTTATTACAATTAAAAAAAGAAAACTAAGGGATTTCCCTGGCGGTCCAGTGGTTAAGACTCCATGGTCCCAATGAAGGGGGCACGGGTTCCATCCCTGGTGGGGGGAAGTAAGATCTTGGGTGCCGCTGTGCCCGCCCAAAAAATTTAAAACACAGAAGACAAGAAAAGAAAACAAAAAGAAAAAATATCTGTGGGTGGGCTCTGAAAACCGTGCCATGGGATTCAGGAGCTTTTCACAACTGTCTAATAAATTTCCAGGTCCAATATATCATCTGTTATAACCCTGTCACAGTGACCAGATGGCTCTCAGGAACATCTACTAAGCCAGGCTGCTTGGGGCCTAAAAAAGCAACCATTCATCAGGAATTAGTAAACAGCACTTATACAAAATGTCTAGCTAAAAGTATCCCAGAGGAAAACATGGAAAGTACGAATGTAAGAGAGAGCGTTAGACTAGGAGCATGTGGAAACTCACTTGCTCCCGAGCTGTGGCCCTCGTGGGGAGCCAGGTAGTGCAGGAACCTCTACTTCCTATCCCAGGATTGGCCTTGCCATCAGCCCTGCACGGTAGCCACAAGGACAAGCAAAGGCTGGTCAGGGGGAGTTACCAAGTCTCAGGGCCCACTGGCTGACTGTCCGTTCAAGCATTTCCTAGAGGGAGAGGGTGCAGCACAATTCGAAAGGGCTGAGGCTGCTGGAGCGGCAGGATGCTTCTTCACTCTCCTGCCTCCCTTCAGGAGTGCGTCTGTAAGCAACGTGAGCGCTGGCTGCTCCGGGAGAGCAAGCAGTGGCTCAGAGACTGCAAGACGGCTGTGCCTGTCTGCAGTGGGTCGCAGGTAAAGTACTTCTGCAGACTGAAAATCGACTCAACCTGCGAGAGGTATTTGAAATAGGAGAAAACCCAGAGCACCGAGCTACTGTTGTCATCGCCATCCTGCTCCCAATGCACCCGGGAGAAACCTCTATTTCTGCACAAGCACTGACATGATACCTGGATACCCTCTTACTCTCCGATTAGAACGTGAGCAGCCCTGTGGTCTCCATGCGTGTACAACCAGAGCCTAATGCGATGCCTGGCACTTGGAAGGGGCTCAGCAAGTAAGTGAGGAGCTCAGCTCTGAAGCCGCGACCAAGATGGCACAGGCAGAGCCCTCTCCAAAGTTCTGTGCTTGCAAACACATCCCTGGCAGGTGCTGCCATTTCCAAAAGTCTCCATTGCCCGCCGGCGCGCACGCTCCCACCCCGAACTCCCCACGCCCTGGAACTACCTACCAGCAACGGCGACCAGCAGACCGACAGCACGCACATGATCCCCATGAGCTGGATAGCCGTCTCGGTCGTGATCCGGCCCCACTGGGCGCTGGACTGCGACGCCGTGGCCTTGGCCCGGCAGCGGGACACTAGGGCCTTAATGGTGGCCAAGTTGCAGGCGAAGGTGACGGCCAGCGCTGACAGCCCCAGGAAAGCAAAGGAGGAAGCGAAGAAAATGTTGCCCCAGTTGTGCGAAGGGCTAGTCCCATTGCCCCCTGTCCCGGTGCTAATGAAGCACCACGTCCCGGGCCACTGGATGGTGTACTGACCCACACCCATAACCGGCAATAGGGCGAAGCCGAGCACCGCCAGCCACACGCCGAGCAGCACGGCGCGGGTGGAGCTCGTCTTCATGTGGCTCGAGTACCAGTGCGGCGCCCGGGTGGCCAGCGCCCGCTCGACGGCCATGGCGCTGGCGATGAAGAGCGAAGAGAGCCCAAAGACGGTCATGGTCAGTCCGAAGAAGGTGCACAGCCTCCCCGACGGGTCGAGCTGCTCCCAGCGCTGGTGGGACAGGTACAGGACGATGACCACCGGGCTGGTGAGCAGCTGCCCGACGAGGTCGGTGAGCGCCAGCCAGCCGATGCATAGCAGGAACGACTTCTTGCGCTTGCTCTCCCGGCGCCGGTAGCTCTGAGACACGAGCAGCATGGCCAGCGCGTTGCCCACGAAGCCAGTGATCAGCATGGTCATCGGGAAGGCTACGGACACCGAGCCGAAATCCTCGCCGGGCCCCGCGGGACGCGTTAGGTTGCTCCGCGCCTCAGCGGAGCGCTCCAGCGCCCAGGTGCCGGGGTAGGAGTGGTTGAGGCGCGTGCAGAAAGGGGAACTCGCATGGCCCCTAGTCTCCTTCATACTGTCTTCGAGGTGAGGAAGGAACGGAGCCCTGAGAGCAGCGACGAGAGCCGGCAGACCGGGCGCGGGAGGCGGCTGTTGTCGGTGGCGACTGGGGCTGGGGCTGGGGCCGCGGCGGAGCTGCCCTCCATGATGCGGGGCTCAGCCGCCGCCTCACTTCGCCACTTCGGCGGCGGCGGCGGCGGGGCTTTAAGGAGACACAGGCAGCCGCGCAGTCGGCTCCGGGATGCGTCCGGCTCCCAGGCGTGTGGAGGTGCCCGGCCGGTTCTATAAGCCCGAGGGGGGCGGGGCGCCCGTGGGTGTCGGCCAAAGTGCTGTGGGAGGGGACGCGGCAGAAACTGAGCGCCTCTCTCGGCTGCTGCGCGACCAATGCCTTGGCCGCCTGGGCTCGGCAAATCCCCCGGAGGACTCCTCTCGAAATGTTCCAACTCCTGGCCGGAGCGGACGCCCAGCCAGGCCGCCGTGCCCGGCTCCGCGCCTCCTCCGGTTCTCTGCCAGAGGAGCGTCCGTGGGCGGGGGGGACTACAGTGTCTCCCTGGTCTACCCCACCTCAGCCAAGTTGCCAAGGCGCACCTGAGCGCCGGCCCTCCCCCTTCTCCATCCACAGACGCTTGTGCAAGGACCTGGGCTTCCTCCTGAAGCTCTTTTGTAACCCTGGCAAGTGTCATTCACCTGACGCTGAGCAATCTAAGCAGACCACTCTCTCGTTGCATAGATGAGCCTGAACATTTTTCCCTTTCTGTTTCGGGACTCTAGCATGATCATGAGCGGGCCAAGTTGCTCTGTCCCCGGGGGCACACTGAAACTATAAAACTAATAGTGCCTCGAGATTTAAGGGGATAGGTACAGGAAAACAAAATAAAATCAGACGGCCGAATTTAAAAATAAAGAAATCCCAACTACCAACCTTCCCCCATCCCCCGCCTAAATTCTTCCTCTTCATTTAAAAAAAAAAAAAAAAGTTAGCTAGGGCAAAAGTGGCTAGAGGCAGGTGGCAGCCACTCACTACCTCACTCTTCCACTATCTCAGTGCATCTGAGATATTGAAATCAAAGGCTGCTTGCCTTTGGGAGTGAAGGCGGGGTGGGGCGGAGGAAAAAGGCAAGTTCTTACAAAGTCTCCAACCATCTTTCTCCACCTCTGGCCCATTCCTATGCAATTAGGACTGGAAACTGCATTTAGATGTTATGTAGGCCTTCACATTTAGTGAAAATGGGCATAATCGCCTAGTAACATCTTTTACTAAGCCAATATTTTATGTTTCACAACCATTTTCCCATTTTTTTTCAGACATCCTCCAAGGTCCTGTTGCTATTATTATTATTCCCCTTTTAAGGTGAGGTAACTGAGGCTCCATGATGTTAAAGGATGTGCCCAAGTCTTTCAGCAATTCTCCAGTCTCCATCTTCTTATTTGAAGCACAGTTTTCTTTACATAGGTACCATAACCACTCTCAACAGGTGAAAATCAGTGGTAAGACCAGCTGTTCTCAAATCTAGGGAAGGCCTGGTTTTTCTGCCTCTTCATCTTGACCGGGAAATGAAAAGATTTTAAAATTTACAAACTTCATTTTCCCTCATATTTAAGAAATTAGACCTAATCATATAGCACTATGAAGACCATTACTCAGAACTCAGCTTGACTTTCAGAGCAAGCCCCGATCAGTTCAGTTCTTCACGTTGATATTCTTATTGGGTGTAAATCAGTGGTAGGAAATGAGAATGGAATATGTTCCCCTGCATTCTTTCTTTCTATGCTGTTGTTTTGATTCTGTATGAGAGTTTGAAAGAAAAAAAAAATCATTATAGGGCTATATAGTTTTTAAAGGAGAAAAAAGCAAAAATGTAATGTAAATTCTATTTTAACATACATTAATCATATCACTAATTTCACTTTGTGTTTTACTGTTAAAATTTTTTTACACTTTTGAAATTTATTTCTCTTTTATAATGTCATGTTTCTAATGAGAACAATAGCTAGGAAGGAATGAAGTGGTTTACCTTCTAAATCTTTCCCCAAACTTTTGTTTTATTAGTTTTAATTACTCTCAAACCCATACTTGGGAAAATGGTTTTCTAAAATGTCCTTTGAAAAGTAAAATAATTTTGATGGTATTTTTAGATACAAGCTTTATCCAAAACAATGGGATGAAAGTACATTTCAAAATTTAATGTTACAGCAATAAAATTCTAGTGTAACTATGTATTTTAAAATTTAAGACCTTTTTATGATTCATACATCAAAGAAAGCAAAGCCAATCTCATTACATCAAAAATTATTCATTTTTATTTATGAATATTTGACTTCTTTGAAACTTTTGTTTCCCCCACTGCAGTACACACAAATTAGATTTCATAAGAGATACAAGCATAAGGACATACAGTTATCGAAGAATTAATGTTAGCCTCTCTTAACTCACCTCTACACCAATGCTTTAAATGTGTTGCATTTAAGATCTTTTGTGTAACACTTTCCTCCTTTTGGTGTTTTGCTTCATCCCATCCTAAGTTGTAGCTATTCACTTTGCAAACAAGTAATGTGGGGGATCTGAAGTGTCACACAATAGAATGCTGGCAGTTGGATTCTGATTGGCATATTTTTGGTGTCAGAGTAGAAAAAGTCTGAATTGTGTTGGTCTGAAACACCAGTACCCTCTAGTGACCAAAAGGTTAATAACATGCTGTGCAATCTGTAAATAACAAATATATGCTTTGCTTAGCGACCTCTGATATCTTTCGCAGGGACCTAAATCATTAATACGTAACTGTGGTCATTCTGTTTTCCTTTGAGTGTCTGCTTAATCAATAGACCAGTGAGGATTAAAGTTATAGAGTCCGATAATTGAAAGACCACATATTCAAAAACTTTAAAAAGATTTTAAAGCCATGTATTCACCCATTATATATTTTCAACTGATATTATGCCCTAGAAGTAATTTTAATCCATAAATTTAAATCCCCTATTGTATCTTACATTTAAAAATCCACGACAGGGCTTCCCTGGTGGCGCAGTGGTTGAGAATCTGCCTGCCAATGAAGTGAACACGGATTCGAGCCCTGGTCTGGGAAGATCCCACATGCCTCGGAGCAACTGGACCTGTGAGCCACAATTACTGAGCCTGCGCGTCTGGAGCCTGTGCTCCGCAACGAGAGGCCGCGATAGTGAGAGGCCCGTGCACCGCGATGAAGAGTGGCCCCCCGCTTGCCACAACTGAAGAAAGCCCTCACATAGAAACGAAGACTCAACACAGCCATAAATAAATAAATTTAAAAATTCACGACATATGTCAATATTTAGCTAGTGTTGATGAATTTATTCTATTTACTTCTACTGAACTTCTATTAAGAAATCTTAAAATAGATATAGATAAAAAAAATAACTAGTTTCATACAATCAGGCCCTTTTCTGCAATTCTTACTCCACAGAGCCAACTACTAATTTCACCATGTTTTTAAGTCATTTATTCAATAAATATTGAGCACCTACTCTTATGTCAGACACTATACTAGTCATTAGGGATACAAAAGAAAAACACAAAAGTTTCTACATTTATGGAGCTTATATTTTAGTGCAAAACTCGATTTTTTTTTTTTACCCAAAATAACAGAAGAAAGAATGCTAATCTCAGTGGCTTTTGTGATTTGCCATGGAGGTAGGATCTTATAAGAAACACAATTTTAAAAACAATGTACAGTTTTCATGAAAAAGTGGAAAAAATATGTACAGTTTTCATGATCAAACAAGATTTATCTCAGGAACCCAAGGTAGATGTAGCACTCAAACATTAATCAATATAATTAGCACTTCAACAAAATAAAGGAGATGCCTTAAGTCTTTTCTAAATCAAACATCTGGGTACCCTGAGTCCTTTGCTATTGACTGCCTTTTCTCCAAACTTTTCTTCCTGTTTCTTTACAGGCCTAGTAATTTTTAATTGAAAACTGGACATTGAAGTTCGTATACTGTAGTGACCGTGGATTCCACTTTTTTTCTTCTGAGGATTATTGATTTGGGGGGCTTCTTCTGGCAGTGCCTGGATTCAAAATACGAACATTTTCTCTCCTGTGATAGACAGCTGCTGCTATTTCTTAGTATATCTTATGTTTTTATAGATACATAAATATATACAGAAATATAGATACAAAGATATGTATACACACATACGTAAATACAAGTTCAATTAATTTTCAGCAAAGTGTTAAGGTAATTCAATAGAGAAAAATGTTTTCAACAAATGGTGCTGGAAAAACTGGATACAGTACCTATATGCAAGTAAAAATGAATACAATCCTTATTTTACACCACACACAAAATGGATTATACATTAAGTATAATTACATTTAATTTTAAAATTATAAATCTTCTAGATTAAAACAGGAGAAAAATCCTTGTGATTTCTTTACCTACCCATTGTTACTGGAAGTACTCCTGCAACTTATTTTTTGTCTTTTGCTTTTAAAGATTTAACAAAATGTGATTATCTCTTTGGTCAGTTTGTATAGAAATTCTTCATAATCTTTTTAAATACCAAGAATAATCTAACAAATTTTTTCTGAATGTTTGGGTTACTTATAATTTTTGCTATAAGCAGCAATGGTACAATAACATTTTTGTATATATTGGTGTGTATATCTGTGGGGCTTATTTTTACATGATAAATCCTTAGAAGAGGACTGATGTGTCCTAAGTTTATATCTGCAGCCTATACTTCTTTGAATTCCAGCCTCATGTATCCAATTGACTATTTGTCATCCCACTTGGATAGCCCATTGACACCTCAATATGTTCAAACGGAACTTCAAATTTTCTTCCCCACTCCTGGTTCTACCTGAGGCTTCCCCATTGCAGTATATAATACCATCCACTTACTCAAGCCAGAAATCCAGTGGCCATCCTTGAGACTTTGTTTTCCATTATCACTGTGTTCCAATCCATCATCCAGTAATATTAATTCTAATTCCAAAATATATCTCAGGTACATTCACTTGTCTCCATCTCCACAGCTACTGTCCTGGTTCAGGTCAGTACCATCGTTTACCTAATCTACTACATCTTTTTTTTTAATTACCTTGATTTTATCATTTTAAATTTTATTTTAACAAAATAAGCTAAGCAAAAAAAGTTTAAACAGCATGTAGATTACATTTTTAAAGGTTAATGATATCTTCTACCTCGTCCTAATTTT